TATCAGCTTGAATTAAAAATTCGAATCCGCGAAGTGAACGAGGAATAAATATGTTTGTTTGATATGATCCATTTATTTATAAATAAATATTATTCAATTAATTTTCAGCAAAAAAATACATTATTCTATTAATAAACAGTTAATTGTGGATGGATCTTAATCTTTAATGGTTGACGGACTCATATCCTCTATAGTATGTATTTTTGATAAGATATATCAATGAGTGAAAACACTCGATGGATTGATATCTCGATATATTAGAAGCATATTATTTAGGGTAGTAAGAGACTTCAATCATAGATATGGAATTTATAACTTCAATATTGAACATTACTCTCGTATCTATTAGATTGACTAAACTTTAATTTGTTCATATATAAAACATCTATTAGAGAGTTAACAGAATTCATGGATAAAGATAAAATTAAAGAGGTTAAAACAGATTTATTCACCTAACTCTAATTACCAATATTCATAATAAAGACTCACGTCACACGATAATTAACTGTATCAGTGAACAAAGCTTTTTGTTTTTTTGTTTGTTTGTATATATTAACTTCTCATAAATATATCTATATATATTCTTATGGTGCAACGTCTTTAATTCCTAATCGTGACATGAATCATAGTTAATTATTATAATTAATTGATTAATTATTATTTGAATTAAATATTAATATTGGAGCTGTAAATATATAGGTCCACTTTGTCCCCATGCTAGCTTAAAAATATCTATGATTAGAATATTCTTGGCATGGTATTTATTTGGATTATTATTATTAGTGACTCTTGAAGGTCATTTTTACTTTGCTCATTAAATTTTGAGAATTCTCATTTTGCTCTTTAAATTTTAAATTAATCTCATTTAAGGCCTTTTGTAAAAATTTCTGTTAAAATTAAATAAAATAAAAGAGATTAAGTATGGTCATATGACTTTTAACCGTTTGCTTTTAACAAATATTCAAACAAAAAAATCATGTGAATGCATTACTCTTTTTTTTCTATCTATTCTAACAAAAGAGTTAAGTATGAGTAATTTAAAATTCGAGATTTTTTAAAATTTATGAGTAAATTAAAAAGACCATAAAATTTAGAGACACGTGAAAAGGTATTTTCATTTCATTTGAAGTATGTATGTTGGGTATGTAATTTAAAATAAAAAAATCCAGTCGGTAATCAAAAACATCAAGTGAGTTCAAGTATGCTGTTGGTGTTGGTACAAGTAAAGTTTTTACTTCAATGACCACGCAACATGGTGGATATGGAAATATTTTGGGCTCTTGAAAAAAGTTGTAGAAATCATTTGGATAAAAAAAAATTTAAAAAAAAAAGAAGATTATGTAATATGCCACTAAGATCCAATAACTTTAAATTAATTTTATGATTATTATCAATAGCATCTCCTGAACTTTGAGGTCGTTCTCAATTTGCCCTTTAAACTTTAAATTGTTCTCACTTAATTCTTTCTGTTGTAATTTCCATTAAAATCATATTAAAAAAAAGAGATTAAGCGTTGCTATGTGGTTCTTATATATTTGTTTCTAATAGAAATTCAAACAAAAATACCATAAGATTGCATTACTCTTTTTTTTTATCTGTTTTTAACAGAAATTACAATAAAATAGGTTAAGTGGGAACAATTTAAAGTTATTAACAGAAATTACAATAAAATAGGTTAAGTGGGAACAGAAATGAGATAATGCTGCTAATATTTTTGGGCTTTATATATAAGATTTTCTTAAAGCTATATTGATCCATGCTAACACGTTATTAAAAGGTACCTATTTTATGTTAGAGGACCATAGCACTTGGAAATCGCAATGTGATTTCTGAACTGTTCTGATACATGAGACGAGATCCTCACCCGAAAAATAAAAAAATAAAAAATAATAAAAATAATAATAATAATAATAGTGTTGCATGTGTGTGTGTATATATATATATACATATATTTCATGCAGAACCCACATATGCTCTGTCACATGACAAATCTTTAAAATATGCTCAACAATTTTTGCCAATCACATCACTATATGAGATGTACATTATAGACACTTGGGACAGACATATCATGGGCTCATGTGAAGAAATTTTTTTTTTTTGCAACTATACCACACGACCATGAAACCATTTGCGCTGAAGTACAAAATTCAATACCAAATTTGATGCATTTGCAGAAACTTTATTGATGCATTGACACTGCCAGACTGTTTATGACTCTAACTTTGCATCACATATTTGTTTTTTTTTTTTTTTTTGTTGTTGTTGAAGGAAAACACATATTTGGTGTTGTCACAACGGGTGTCGGTAAATATGGAAACTTTCAAAACTACTGGATTCCTCTTACTCAGCTAAAAGAATAAGACCATCCACCAGAGAACTTGTATAAATTCAGATAAACCTAAAGGCTTGTATAACTCATAGATTTTACATAAATAAGAAAATTGAAAGAGTGAAAAACATTTTTACCATTACTTTTAGAAATGGGCATTTGTACAAAGATGTTCTCAGATTCACTTAATCCACTGGATAACTAGGGTAAGCAATGATTACCGAATTTGATCATGGCGTAAATATAGAATTTTACAATTAAATACTTAATTCAATTACTTCCGAATTTACTTAAATTTACTAACTTATCCAAAATTCTTACCATTTATTTGTAGGGAGAAAGAGAGAAATAGTCCAAGACTTGAGATGAATTAATATTAATAGGCCAATAGTTTACATAAGTTAATAAATAAGCCAAATTACTGTTTTCGTCCATAACTAGTCTGGTTATGAACCATAACTTGACAAGTTATTGTCCATAATTATTTATAACTTGTCTGGTTATGAACCATAAATTGACAAGTTTATCCATAACTTATCTGGTTATGAACTATAACTTGACAAATTATGACCTATTAATTTTTATAACTAAAAATTGATCTATATACTTTCTTAAGCTTTTTATATTGGCCTATTTTCCTTATTTGTATTACAGAAAAAAAAATTTTGTTTTTCTGAATCATCCCTTGCGAACCAATAATATGAGCTAACTTGACCAACCGAATCCCCCAATGAGTTTGAAGAAGTTGGGCCAAGCGTATGGACTGGCTCCTTGGCCCATTGTGCTAGTTTCAAACGTTTATCTTGTTTTCTTAGCAAATGTCAAACTGTTAACCGTTGAGTGAAGGTATTTAGCCCCGGATTTAAGTTGTTAGTTTGAGTTGAAATGTGATATTTTTTAAAAGTTTTTAATTGTAATAGAAAAAAGTTTGATGTAATATTTTTTTAAAACTTTTAACTGTAAAAACCTAAAATTAAAAACTCAAATCGGTGAAATGAATGAGGCCTTACTCTTTCTTCTCTACCCAAGCTAATTCACTGTTCCGTTCATTTTATCGATTTGAGTTTACTACAGTAAAAAACTCTTAAAAACAATCACATTTAATTTTTTGACTATAATAAAAAATTTTTATAAAAAATTACATCTCAATTTAAATTAAAAATTTAAATTAACAAACTAAACGAATCATTAATTTAATTAAGGACTTGATTACAGCCTCGAGAAACATGACTAAACTTTAACGTGGAAGCTCAACATGAACCCCCACTAATGTTTAGTAGCTCATTCTTATCTCTTCAAACTTTTTCCACTTAAAAGATGTTTTTTATTTTGCTAGTAGAGAATGTACTTCAGAATGGAGATGATTCGTACTTCACTATTCGTACTTCACTCATAAAAATATCATTTCGGAAGCAGTTATGACACGTCTTATATTTTAAAATAGAAAATTTCTCCAATAGATTTAAAAAAAATAAACTGATGTATTTTATTTTATCGATTTAAATTTTAAATTTTAAATTTATTATAATTAAAATTTTTTATAAAAACTCATATTTAATTTTTTTCATTATAATTAAAATTTTACATAAAATCATATTTTTATTTAAATTAAAAACTCAAATTAAATTTTATTCTCAACAGTATATTAAAATTATTTATTTTACATAACTTTTTTTGAACCTAACATGATTTTAACCAACCTGACCATACCCGTAGAAATACATAAAAAGAAAACTCATTTTTTAAAAAGGAGAAAGAGGGAAATAAAGACTTAAGATGAATTAAAATTGATAGACTAATAATTTATATAAGTTAATAAATAGACTAAATTACTGTTTTCGTCCATAATTTATCTGGTTATAAACCATAACTTGACAAATTATTGTCTATAAAATCACGATATTTGTCCATAACTTATCTAGTTATGAACTATAACTTAACAAATTTATCCATAACTTATCTAATTATGAACTATAACTTAACAAATTATGACTTATTAATTTTTATAACTAAAAATTAATTTATATATTTTCTTAAACTTTTTATATTAACTTATTTTCTCCTATTTCCGTTTTTAAAATGGGGTGTACTTTTTTCAAAAATATATTACAATATACTTTTTCCCTTATTCTGGGCTAAGAGTTCAGACCATAGCGGAATATCTTTCCCGTTGTAGACTTTCCAACGTTCCTCTGGAGCATCAAACTTTCTCGTTGCTTTCAATTGGCAACATTTTATCGCCTGTTTAATTCACACGTTACTGTTGCTGATTATTTTAACATTTAAATTTTTTATTAAAAAAATACTGAAATAAAATTAAATCTATAGGTTTAATCGAAACAGCTGCCTTAAGTTTCTCGTCCCTTGTAGCTATCGAGAGCGGTGTTTTCTGGTTCAAAGTCAGGATTGCCTGATCTAATTATGACGACGGCTTTCAGATGCCACTAGAAGGTCTCAGAAAAGATGAACTAAATAAATAAATAATAAAAAAAAGGGCACTAAATGTGATTTTTCAAAATTCCGCCAAAATTTCAACTTCCCTGCCGTCAAAACAAATCAAACTTCCTGACATAATCAAAACAAAAAATGACAAAAACTAAAAAGGACAAAATTGAAATCTAATGACAGCACGAGAAGGGCATGAGAGGAGTAGTTGTTGATATAGAAATTTTCTCAGTATAATTTTCATCTTCAGCTTTGCATTACCGTAGAAATTTAACACACAATTTCTCGAGAACAAAAGGAAAAAAAATAGTAATAATAAAGATCCAAAAGAAGAGCCATATCATAGAGCAGAGCAGATCAAAGTCAACAAAAACACACTCTCAACCCGCTATACAACACATCCAAAAGCTACATAATCAAAATCCCTCTACATGGGTCTTTTCCCTTCTTCTTCACCGACCCCTTTTCTTCTTCTCTCCTTGGCCCTTTTACTTCTTCGTGCAAAATCAACCGAACCCACCAATTTTTCTCTTCTTTTTTTTTTCCCTTATGTGGTTATGGTATATCATTATTATAAGAGCTAATTCTTTTTTCTATTTTCTTTTTTTATGTTTGCTTCTTTTTTATTTATTAATAAGCTAAGCGGCAGCGACCGCGCCGGTACGGAAAGTGTAGTCCCGGTTTTTGTTAGGAGAAGCAGATTTTCTCTGTTCCTTGTTTCTCAAGGCCTTCATTGATGAAGAAAGATTCATGTTCTTCTCCTTCGCTTCGTCGATTTCGATCTGCTCTGCTCTGCAAGCTTCGCTACAGAACGGAGTGTCGCCTCTGCAATAGTTCGATCAAAACCATCAATGATCGGAAATCGTTTTTCTTTTTTAAGAAGAAATCTTAAAACTATTAAGTTAAAACACAGATCCCCCAATTTTCCCTTGTTTGGCTACCGAGAAAAGGACCGGAATTTCAATTTTTGTCAGAGAAAATCGAACTACTTGAACTTCAATATTTCCTTGTTTGGTTACCGATGAGAAAGCCACCAATTTCCCAAAATTGGAAGTTTAAATCCAGATCCCCAATTTTTAGGCGAAAAAAAAAAACACTTCCTTGTTTGGCTGCCGAGAAAGGCCGGGAATTTCTATTTTATACTGGTCCGACAAATCAAAACTCTTTGGAACTTTTCCTTTAAAGTATTCTCAATTGTTTGGTTGCCGAGAAAAGGCTGGAAATTACTAGTTAGTGTCTGAGAAATCAAACAAGTAGTAATTTCAAACACGAGGAATCTAACCGAAATCACCTTTTGAAAAAAAAAAAATTCTATATCCGGAAAACCATTCCCGATCTGAAACCAGAAACCCTAAAGATTCAAAATCAAACACGAAAAGAACAAAACTTGGAGAGAAAACCAACCTGTACATGAAAATATCCTTGTTATCAGCGAGAGGCTTCTTGCAGAGGAAGCAAGCCTCGAGGAAATGGGGCAGGTGCTCTTCAAACCTGGCGTCGTAGAACCTCGCGCCGCCAGATCTGGGCGAAAACGACGACGAAGAAGAAGAGAAGGAAGGAAACGACGTCGTCGGAAGGCTCCTGAAGCTGCTACGCCGCGAGTAATACAAAGGTCGAGAGTAAAACGCGTGGTTCTGGTGGTGGTGGTGGCTGCCGGAGAATCCAGCCTCCATGTCGGCCAGGGAGGCCAGACCGTCGTCTTCTTCGATGAAACAAGGTCTCCTTGTGCCTGCAATGGCGTCCATGTTTATTTTCTTTCTATATGCTTTTTGTTTTGGGAAAACCGTTCAACGTTTGGGGGGGAGAGAGAGAGATGTGGAAGTGAAGGAGAGGGAGTGAGGAGAGGGTTAATAAAGGAGGTTTGGTGAAGAGTGAAGAGAGAGAAAGTTGTACAGCGAGTTTTTTCTTTTGTTTTTTTTTTCTTTTGTTTTGTGAAATCCGTGCTCGCAAATCCATTGGCTCAAAATACATGCATCTCTAAGCTGCCCCTCTTCTATTTCTTTTGCCATTAGTGTAGTAATTTACGAGAGTGCCACTTTAGTAGACGAATAATTGATGAAAGTTGTGTGCCCTTTCAGAAAATAAAATAGTATGGATTTTTTTTTACGGAAAGTTTAGGGTTTGTTTAGTTCGTTAATTTAAATTTTTAATTTAAATTAAGATATAATTTTATGTGAAAGTTTTTTATTGTAATAAAAAAATTAGATGTGACTGTTTCTGAGAGATTTTTACTGTAATAAAACTCGAATTGGTGAAATAAACGGAGCCTTAATATGCAGTAATTAATATGGAATTAAATAGTTAAGAAAGTGATAGTGGGTAATATAATTCTCTGAAATTTTACATTATCGTGTTTGGTTATGCTTAGAAATCTTTTGTTAGATTTTTAGAAATATTATTTTACGGTGTTTGGTTGTACATAATAATGAAATCTTTCTTATAAAGTTAATAATTTAAAAAAATTTGAAACTAATTAAATCCTATTATTTCCATTTTACTAACTTATAAGATTAATACTATTAGTGGATTTTTTAAATATTATGAAAAAATACAAAACTAAAAAATGCTCCCCATCTCTCTCTCTCATCTCTCTCGATCTCCCTTTTGATCTTCCAGATCCACACGGGATTGGACTTTGTCGGGCTTGGGCGGACGAAGGCGATTCGAGGCTGGTCACGGGGCTGTGCGATGGTCACAGGGCTGTGCGAACAAAGGCGATTCAAGGCTAGGCAGATGGAGGTGATTCGGGGCTAGGCGGACGAAAGTGATTGCCACGGGGATGGTGGGACAGTCAAAGGGCTAGGCGGACGAGGAGATTGGCGACCACTGTTGGATATGAGGATTTAACAGTGGGGTAGAGCAGTAGTGGATCGGAAGGCAGATTTAACGGTGGTGGCGGCACAGAAAAGTCCGACGACGAAAGGTGGCAGCAGCGTGGTCGACAGAAGAGCAGTGGACGAAAGAGGCGGTTGGGTTTGGGAAGAGATAGGTGGGAGAAATGTGGGAAAGTAAATAACACCCATTTTTTAATTTTCTCGTGATATTAACTTTCCTGAGAAAGTAAATAACACCCTCCAATATGGGTTTAGGATTACTTCAAAATGTGGTAATGTGAAACCCATGAGTTTCACTTTCTTAAGTTTTAAAAAAGTCTAATAATTATACCAAACATAAGAATCTGAAAGATTCTCATTCTAACCCCTAAGATTACTCCATACTAAATGCCCCTAAAAGGTAAATACTTTTAAATTTTATCTGATTTTTTTTTCTTTTAAACATTTTTCAGATTTACAAACTACTTCATTTTGGATATTAACATATCCATATTTTGTATTAATTTGAAACCTTTCCGGTATAAGAGTATTGCATTCTATATAACTCTTTTATAATAGAATGTTCAAAAAAATGCATAGTATCATCAGTATAAGAATCTTTTTTTGTAAGGGATCATAAAATTGAACTTCAATTATAATAAACTTCATTAAACTAAAATTTAAAATTATTTCTACTCAATTAATAACCGTTACTTGTAAAAGAAACAATATAGCAGAGCCACTTGAATTTAAGGAGAACAACTGCTAATAATGACCTTTATTCAAATAATTTTAAATACTTATGATTTTTCTGTTTTGTCTCTAATGAAATTTGATTTTTTTTTCACAAACTCTATACCTTTTGTTTTAATTTTATATTTTCAAGAAATAGTGTTTGTCCTATTTTAAAAGAAATAAAATAAAGTAGAAGGCTCTATAATAATAATAATAATAACAATAATAATGTACGGCTCATGTTAACATCCAAAAGGAAACAAATATAAAAATAGGGTAGGTAGGGGTGAGTGTCATGTTCGTGATTTTAGGCATAAGACAAGGGTAGTAGTAATCGTACACGGGCGAAAGATTTTTCTTTTTTCTTTTTTAGGGGTTTTATTTTTAGTAATTAAACTTTTGGCACAATTTGTAGACCAAAGCAGGTAGGCCCCACGCGCGACCCAATTGCACATGCTTCGCTTTCAGCAATACCATGCTAACGTCAATTGTTGTACTAGACGCCAACTCGGCTTTGTCTGGTTCCACGCGATCATATTGCGCGTAAACGTAACGTTCACACCGCTACGACTCCGCTCTTGCCTTGCCTTGCCCCCTGGGAAAATCGCTTTCTGGCTCCCCCATTGTGGGGACCAAAAAGTTTTTCCCATTCCTTTTCCATTTTGCCTTGCACTCTACCTTTGTTTTGCTTCATCCTTCTCAATGAATTGAGATTGAAATAATCCTAACAAAAAAAAAAAGAAACAATTTTGAATTCCATGTACTTATTCAACTCCACGTTTCAATATTATAATTTGTTTTTCATGTACTAGCTCAATCCCACAATTCAATATTGTCAAGTTTTTTTTTTCTCTTTTGTCCTAGAACATTGTTTGTACTTTGTTGCAAAGAGTTATAGGACTTAGTTTATGTACATATTTCACGAATTTAAATTTTATTAGAGTAAAAAATTTTAAAAAATAATTTAATTTTTTTATTATAATAAAAAATTCTCACATAAAATCACATAAAAATTTAAATTAATAAATTAAACGGATCTTAAGTGAGTAGAATAATCACATAATTAAATGTGAATATTCGGTTATGGAGTGTTGTGCTTAAAAAAAACAAATAAATGAGTAATCGTCGCTTATAACTTTTGTGACGCTTTATTTTATTACAATTTAAATTTGTCTGACATTTAAAAAAAAAAATTGACGTGACGCTTCCACTATGGTCCGGTTTAACAAAATCTTCTTATGTTCAAATGTGCCTCGATTAGCAATTTGAGAACCTGGTTGTTTTACCAGCTTACCAAATTAATATTTTTTGCTCTAGTACGAGAATAGACACTGTACTGCAAAACATTCAGAAATTATTTTTTTTTTAAAAAAGGGGGAGGAGCGAGACATGTCCTCTTTTGTCTCTTACTAGTTTCTCTCTCCCGTCGAATACTCCAAAAAAATGCTAGTTCCAAACCACATTCATTACAACCGTACATTACTGATGAGAGAAAGGTTTTTTACATAGTTGCCCCTTAAATTTATCGCGTTTGATAAATCGGTTCTTAAATTAAAAAATGTTACAATCTGCTCCATAAACTTATAAATTTATTGTATTAATGGTCCTTTTGCTCATATCAGTTAAATATTGTACGGAATTTGTAACGTGAGTTGCGCGTGACTTTTCTCAAGGGCATTTGATGGTCATTTTATTAACTAAACAACATTTTAAAAAAAGAAAAAGAAAGAGAGGTCTTGTACACTTGAACGTCAATAACCCTGACAAAGAACTAAAAAAATCAATAAGAAGAGAAGTCTCCCCACATGATCGTCTGGATAATTCTTTCTTTGCCAAATTGATCTCTTGTTTAAAATTTTATACTTAATCACCAACTATTTCAGGAAAGAAAATAAATAGAGAAAGAAAACTGATTTCGATTCTTTTTCTCAACTTTCTTTACTGTTAAAAAAAGCTCCATCTTTGGTCACGAAGAGTAGGAACAAGAAGAAGCCCCTTTTGAATTTGAATTGGTGAAAAAAACACCCAAAAAAAATTGATCCCACAATACATATAAACTGGGTCCATATGAAATCAAAAGATTCAACTTAAAAAACGGACAAAAGCTTCCGTCTTTATACTGTTAATAAAAAAATAAAAATAAATAAATAAGGAGAGGTCTTTTATATGTGAGCAACTGCAGATCTGCAATTAGAGATATCATATATATTTAAAGCTTGAGAAGCAGCAACTATGGCTTGCATCTGCATCTTAATCGGCATATTTGTGTTAAGCTTTTCCTTCCAACCACCGTAACGTCCTCCACAAAAGGGGTAGGTGTTTCCGCTACCATCGTTGGCTTTTGGGCTTCCTCCAGTATGTTGAAAAGATGGGTTTTTTGAGGAAGGAGATTTGAGTACATTGAGCCCACGAATATTTGCATATGTTGGGAGGCAGAGATTTGTTGTGATAGGGCGAAAGAGAAAGAGGAGGAAGACGACCAAAGATAGAGAAATGACCATCAGATGCCCTTGAGAAAAGTCACGTGCAAATCACATGACAAAATCCGTTTAATATTTAACAGACGTGAGCAAAAGCACTATCAATACAATTACAATGGATTTATAAGTTTAAGGGGCTGATTGCAAAATGTTTTAATTTAAGGACTGATATGCCAAACACGATAAGTTTAGGGGTTAACTATGCAAAAAAGCCCGAGAGAAAGTCTGAGAGTGTTACATACGCGCCATAAATGCAAGTCAAACAGCAAACACCCGCTTAACGAAAAGCACCAGTAGATTAAAAAAAAAAAAAGAAAAGCACCACTTGTACGTGTACTACAAACCTCCATTCCAATGACCCACGGTTTCACTTTTTTCCCACCTTGTCTCAAAAAGAAAAAAAAAAGCAAAATTAGACAAAATAAAAATAAAACAACCCAAAACTGACGTCACATTCACGCGCGGGGTCCCACCGTCGATTCTTTTGTCGTTTTTTTCCACGAAAAACAACCACCCTCTCCTCCAACTCCACCGGCTGGTCCCCACCCCCCCAAAACCATCAAACTGCAGGACCCACAATGTGGGGTCATTTTGGGTATTTTAATTATTTCACTTCATTCCCTCGTGGCGGGGCTCGCTTTCCGAGGTTTTTGTTCCCCTCTCTGCTCATGGCGGGTTGTTGCCCGTTAACCCCCTCGGACAGTTCGGGCAGCCGCCCGCTCGTTGATTATTCACCACTGTACACGTGTGGTTCGGTGCATGTACCCAACGATGCACCGTAGGCCGTGACTCTTCGCCACGTGTCC